GATTCTAGAACATTTTTATGAAAGTATATTCTGAGAATCTTTTAGCTAAAGGCTAAGTCAAAAATATTTTGCCTTTGGAAAGGACAGTAATTAAACTTGCAGGCATCTCTGCCTCCTGCAGAGTTTCATTCTGAACCTGTGACCATCTCTGTGAGCATTCTGTTACCATACAATGGGCTTTGTAGCAGCCTTGGAGAGTTTCAATGGATCCCAGAGGTGAAGTGGTCAATCACAGCCTTCAAGTCAGACCTACAAGCCCTTGTAGGTCTTGTCCTTGTAGGTCTTTAACCCTTGTACCAGGCTATGGAGTTGTTAAGATAAAGGCTAAAACCATGCATTTGCTTTAATCAGTTTTCCACAGGAAGATACTATGCAAGGAAGAAGGTGAAGTGAATGTGCTTCTTGTTATCTGGTTGATAAAACAGGTCTCCCTAATATCCTGGGGTAGCTTGTTTCTTGCATGCTGAAGGTTTCATATCCAAGCAGATCACATTATGATATGTAGCCAACAGGCCACAAAGACATGCATATGTTTACACAGATCATCACCTACAACAATAGGCCAGCAGCTCATAAATCTTGATAAATTAAATTCTGTAACAAAGAATCATCAATTCATGCCTGTGAGATACTGAAAACCTACACATACACATCTTAATCAAAGAAGACTGCACAGCCACTGTAACTTCTCTGAACCTCATGGTTATGAGCACAGAACATTAGCCTCAGTGAAACTGGCTTCGGCTTTGACTTTTTAAAAATTCTTATTTTCAAAAGGTCAGTGAGAATATTTGACCCTGAGAACCTGCTGGCTCACATGCATCCGGGAGAACCTTCTCCCTATTAGCTACGCTTCTCTCTTCTTAAGAGGGAAAGGAACAAGGCATTGCTCTTTGTCCCAGAAATGATACAGATTAGTCAAAAATTGGGTTTTTTTCTGTAAACTAGAAAAGAACTAAATTGAATTTGAAAGCCTTGGTTCAGAGACGATTCAGAATTCAGTCCCACCAAGGACTGATAGAGGGTCCATGTTACAAACTCCAGGTGATCAGATGTGCTGCTCGCTGACAGATATGGATGCAACAAGTAAAATTAATGCTGAGCACTAACAAAATTCTGTCCCTTGATTTTCAGGGTTCCCAGTTTGAGTTTTTGCAAGACTTTCTGTTGATTTCATTTTATAACTGTCCAAGGTGAACATATTAAAAGAGAAAAAAGCCTGCTGATTTCAGTGACTAAAGTCTCTAGAGGTCATCAGCAGGAGAAAACTTCGCATGTTCTAATAACATATTCTGCTCTAAGACAGAATTCAAACAGACACTGAGCACCTTAATTTTGCAACTACTCGTTAAAAATAACATGTAGACATCCAAAGGCAAGTTTGCTCAGAGCCATAGCTGATTTATTGTTCTGATGACTTCATGAGCACTAAACTAAAAGCGTATCAGTCAAGGATCAGCCCAAAAGTTATTTAACTATGAATTATAAGTATTTTTTTTTTAGAAAGGAACAGTGAAACTGGTATGGAACAAAAAACTGTCAAGACAGAAGCAGTGTGACACACTTAGACCACTGCAATAAATGGAAAACGTACTTTGGTTGTGGTTGCAAAGTATTTCTGTACCACAGTGAAGCTCCCATGTGCATAACCAGCACAAAGCCAAAAAAAATAGGCTACAGGACAGGAAAGGCTATTTTTGCATTTATATTTTAAGTATACGTATTTAACTAGTCACAGTAATGTCTAAGCATAAGGATATTTGGTGTCTGGAACACATCTGTAGGCCCACTGGAAGGATATAGTTAAATTCACTTCCAGAAGAGAGACTGTAAGAAAATGTTACAACATCACAACTGTAATACAGACATTTGTGCATGCTAAAGCTGCCCGATCACAGAGAAATTCACCATATTGTTATTTTTAACCATAAAACTCTTTGTGGCATGAAGACTAATCACAGACCTTAACCATGGATCATAAAGTAGCATGGGGTTCACAATATGATCTATGGTTCATAGTCACCATGTGGCAGAATCATAAACAGCTCTAACACAGCAGTGCAGTTAATTAACAGCTTTTGTGAAGACTACAGTTCTACTACTGAATTGCAAAGGATTTTACTAAAGAAGATCCAGATTTCTCACTAGTTTTGCTTCTTTGTTTCTTTTTGATGCTTTTTGATGCCATAGAAATGTGAAAACTTTAATTATACACGTTATGAGCTATAATATAGTTGGCATATGTACTATATCCAACTTTATAGTGTATATATAGTTTCTCAAACATTAAATGCATTTCTTTGAAAATCCTTTTATAACTTTTAAAAAATAAGATCCTTCAATTGCAAATTTTGTGAGATCTGCTGCACTAACTATAGCAGCTTTAAACCTGACTGTCTCTTTGTAGACTCCACATTCCCCTTTAATTAAGGCCTGCTAAACCACAAACTATAAGTTCACTTCATTCAGCATTTCTCTTCAGATTCAAAACAGCCTAAACTTATTTTACACAGAATTTCGTATTTCGTTGCCTTTCCACATCAGAATCTCCAATCATTTTTGAAGTTTTCAGTGCAGAGTGAATATGGACCTATCTTACCTTCCATATGTTCCACATAGCAGTACACATCATAAGTTTCATTAGGAAAACGGCGCCCATATGTTCTGACTCCTTTCTTTCCCATTTTATCTCCAAAGCAGCCAATTCTTGGGTGTCTAATTGGATACCTGAAATGCAGAATGTTGATATTTATTATTATGATAAGTCAGCATATTAAGTCTGTCCAGGATATAGGCATATTGATTTTGGGCAACAGTATCAAGGGTCTGAATGTCTCACCTAACGGTCTGATCAGACAACCAGCCAGCATCACATTGCTCAAATCCATCTTCATAGGCTGCTTTCAGTTGTTCTGGGCTTGCTATGACAGCACCGTTGTCCAGACAAGTTTGCTGAGCTTGTGTAAAATTCAGAGTATACCTGCTGGTTGCTGCACGATAGTGAAACACAACACCTGAAAAGGCAAAAAAACTAACTTTAGTGACGCCTTCTGCATCATTTCTGCAACTATCATCCTACAGTAAGCTTAGCTAGGTATTGTTACAAAGCTGAAAACAGATGGGTGCAATAAAAACAGTGAAAGGCTGAGAGATATGCTACCACATAAATTATGTCCCCCCCTCTAGTGGCTGCTACCAGTAGTTCTGTAACACACTGTGTTATTAATAATTGGTGAAGTTATATTCACATACACACAGGAAAAAGCAATTAAACCAACCATATAAGAATTTTTGCTGCTGTATTACAGCAAATCATCATCAAAAGAGAAAATGAATGCTACACTATGTCAATGATATCACATAGTTACCCAGACCCTCCACTTCCAAGTGCTGGTCAGCTGGTGGTACTGCCAGCAAGGTTGCTTGTGCTAACAGCACTACCTGACATATTGGCTTATTGGCCTACATAACACAACCAGTTGTGAGTCAGACTGCACGACCAGACAAGACTAAGCACATCTAGTCTTCAGGAAAAGTGGGCTTAAAAACAGACTTTCCAGAGCAGGAAGCTGCAGTAACTTCACACAGAAGTGCCAACAGTCAGTGGTAGATCCCCTGAGTGCTTAAGGTCTGCTAGCTGCAGTGAGGTCTGTGACTGATGGAGACACCAAAAAATCTGTGCTTTTGATGTAGAGCTGCTAACTGGTGATGGTCCCAAAGTCTGTTCTTATGCATCAAAGCTTGCTACAGACAGAATACTTGTAAACATATGGCTGTTGGTCAATAGGACATTTATAAATACATGGCTGCTGGTCAATTTTTCATAACTCTGTTTTCCTGCACACGCTACAAAAGAAACAGACAAAACAAAGCTTGCTTTTATTTGGGGCCTTTCTGGTTCTGGAAAGAATCTTGAAAATTTCAAAAGTTACTTGAGCACTTCAGATGTTTGGAGAGGGAGGCCCTAGAGTTAAGATGGTTTTGGTTAAGACGGGAACTCTCTAGAAGCCACATTCTGTTTTCTATATACACATAATTCCCACTGAATTCAGCAACAGCTGCACACACACCCCTAAAAGAAACCATCAAGGGCATCAACTCCAAAATGGCAGAAAACTGATATTCCACCTTGCAAAATCGGCTTTACTGCCAGTGTCTTTTACAGTTTAGCAACAAAAGGATGTCCTCTGATCTCTGAAAAATGACATTTAATCTTACTTAGTGCATCCTAAAATCTTCAGAGGCATTGTAACACCATAAAACATCCACTACAGAGAATGGTTACAAAGCAAGAAAAATAAACCATAAAATGTTCCTTTTCTCTGGTGATTTTATTGGACTACTTCATGATGAGGAAATAATATACTGTAACACAGTTTGGGAAAATGGTGGCATTGAAACAATAATAAATTTTCCAGTTATTAGAGCATCGTTGAAAGATGGAAGAAGTCTGCTAATTTAGGAGTAAATACAAATATGGGTAACTTATTAAAAAGTTGATTCAAGATGTTCCAACATATTTAGAAATACTTTTTCTCATGCAAATAAATTCAGTAAAATCTCACCACTTATCAAAGGTCTGGATATGGCAAATAGAAAAGACATGTTTTCCTTCTTGTCATGATTCAGTAAGAAGGTAGTTAAGTTAGAACAGAGTAAATTGGCTGGAAACTCCTCACAGGTAGGTTAAAACTCAATCATCAGACGCTAATCTTATCAAAGCTACTGGTAGAGAAACAAAATAGAAAAAGAAGAGGAAACATTGGGAATTCCCACGTTTCATCATTTAATATGGAGTCCCACACCAGCTGCAATCACTAACTGGAAGCTTACAGACCACTAGCATCCCCATAAAATGGGTTTTCAAAAATCACTGACAAATTTCATCACAAACAGTGCTTCTTCTGAGCAACAATTTCAGCTTAAAATGGGCCCAGCATTGTTCAGCAACAGTGACAAGTAAAGAATGAAAAGTTATGTCTCTCTTTATATTACTGAATTAAATATTACAGGTGTCTACAATTCTGTCATCAAAACTGTTAAATTGTTAGCTAAGTTCATGGTGTTACTTGGCCCAAGCCCTATGAACACCTTTCCAAACAACTTCTGGGCAGATGTCAAGAGCTAGCAAAGACCAGGGACAACTTCCAATGGGCACCTTCATCCTGTGCTGGGAGCCAAAAGAGGGTACAGCCTCAAGTAATTCTCTTAGTAACATGATCTGTAACAGGGGAGACTGAAAGTCACAGAAATAGCTCTAGGAGCTCCTGTATCCCTGCACTTCCTCTGCTATAGGGCTTCCTCCACTGCCTGGTTATGGCAAATTTATATTTTATCATTTATGTTGTCTTAAGATGTACAAAACTTTATTCATACATATATGCACATACTTTTAAATACCTCTCTGTGTGTATTTTGGCTTTGTGTACCAACAACACAGTCCTTTAGCATACATCCAACACAGAGAACTACCTCATGATATAAAAAGAGTTAGGCAACAGCATCACGTTTGGAACTGAAAACCTTGACAGAACAATATGATTTAGAGATCATATTTTTTTAAGTTATGTTATGCATTACACTATTTATTTTAATATATTCAGAATTTAGTAACATGGGCTAACACTGTGAGCAAGTTACCTGCTGGTATAAATGAGCATTACCCTCCTTACTGGTACAGTAGTAAATCAAAACATGGGCTCATGTGACCTGCTTGGTGTTCTGGGTCTAGAAATAAGAAATTGGCAAGTTTTACAGAACTTGTAACAGAGGCAGAAAAAACATTTACCCTGATTCTGAAGTATGAACTCATAATAATATTCACAAGCTGGGCACCTAGCTTTAGTGCATAATTTTGCAGGAATCTAGACAAATATTTTAATTTTTTTTTTGTTTTGTAACATTGGTGTTTCTGTAGTATACAACATTTGACACCAACTCAATAACTCAGGGTCAAACCAGAAATGTCCAAGTATGTGAAGCAATTTGTTAATTCAATTTGCTGATTTAATGAAAATACTTTTTTATATAATTTAGATTAACTGCCTCTTTTCTGCCTCTTCCCTCTCCTTTCTCAAGATTGTTTGGCTGGTACTATATGACTTCAGCTGGGCACAAGAGCACTGCTTCTCAGCACAATCACAAAAGATTCATTAACTTAGCAGGAGATAAGCAACATATTTCTGTGAACTGTATTTTTTTACAGCTTCCTAGTGCTTAAATCTATTAGGATTCTCCATGAACAGCTATCTTGCCTCTCATTCCTTCCATGCTGGCAGTAACCATTGCCCTTCCTATCTGGCAGAAGTTTCTGATCCCTGTGATACCTGAATAAAGCAGTACTAAAGGGTTAATATCACTTCCAATTTAAAATAGCTTTTGCAGTGATGAGAAGAGCCTTTGGTCATTTGTAAATCCTGGAAAGGAACTTGGAGAATGCTTTGTTCTCCTCACCCTGATCCAAAAGGTAAACTTCACCTATTCTTAGAGTTGAAGGCTCTTCCATTTCCAGCGAGGAGCTAATGGACATAAAAGAGTCTCAGAGATGAATGGGAAGGAGGACGTTGGTAAGTATAAGCCTGTGCAACAGCTGCAATAATTAGAAGACCCCCTGGGGCTAAGAAGATTAAAGTGCAGGACTTTCATTGTTTCAGTTAGAGAGAGAGGGGCAAAATCCATTGTCCGAGTTTTTGCACTTTAAAACATTTGTAAAAGATTTTTTTTTGCTTTGTCTATTTCCCCTCCGAAAGAAAAAGCAAGAAAGGAGTTGTCCTAGGAACAAATAAAGCAACTGGAAAACAGACTACAGCAGTATAATGTTGTCACTGAACATCTGGCAAACAAAGTCAGTGTAATTACAGGAAGGAGTAGCAGCATCTGCAAGAAAGAGCACTCCCAAGGAAGTAATTTGTAGCATCCAAAATTTACTTCTCTCTGAGCAAGAGAGAATGTCTTTTAATCGTTTATCTCTGTCTTAGGCCAGAAACTGAAAACAAAGTATTTCACTTTTAACAAGCTAGGGCTTCCACGGGTAAGAGCCTGGTTCCATGTTTTCATACCTTTGGGTTGCAACTTTGTTTTATTACTTGCCAAGGAATGGTGAAGCAAAACCTGTGGAGCTGCAGAGGAAAGGCTGCTGATGTGGCTAATTAAATTACAGTTCACTTTCACTAGAGAGCTCACACTGCAGCAACACGCACTCTTGGAGCCACACAAAGCCCAGATTTCCAAAGCTGTCTCACATAGCAAAGAATACCTAAAAAGAAAAGCTTATGATGGCAGTGGCTGTCATTCTGTTAATTTTTATGTTCGAACCTTAACCGCTGTGGCACAGGCTTCTGAAATAACCCACAGCCCACTGCTGTTTGGTGATCCTCCTTGCCTTTAACGCAGAAGAAAATTTACATTACAAGTGCTTGTCAAAATAGAGGTTCCAGGACTGAGCCGATGTATGAAAGGAAGGAACAGGGTAGCACTTTCTGCCTCCTGCATGAATAATTCATTCCT